CTTAGGCCTAGTGCAGGAAGGCTTCATTGACACTTAGTGGCCTTCCACCCTCCCGAGTTACCTAGGGTGAGGCCTAGTGACGTCAACAACTCCCTCCTTTGAGAATACTCAACAAGCCTTTGGCTGAGTTTTCTCATATTCTGTGGACAAGATATGATTAAGTGCTATGAAGCTGGGGTTTTCAATGAGAGGGTATGCCTGGATTTTTGAGGAAAGGGGGCACAAAGCTTACGGAGGAGCATCTTAAAATAAGCAATCAGGAGGAGGGTGACCAGGCACAGTACCACACCTGTGAGGAGGAGACGCACAAGGCCACACCCTAGTCCTCCTAGGTCGGGCAACCAACTTCAAAGGGAATCGAAACCTTTCCTGGGCCTCCCACTGCTCAAAAGCCTGTTCGGCTGACAGGACATGCTTGTTAATGTCCTGTGAGTTTTCCAGGACCTAAGTACAACATTCATTCCCAATAAGGGCACACACCCCGCCCTGGGAGGCTAAAACATAATCTAAGGCCTGTCTGTTTTGCAGGGACAGCAATCGGAGCTGGTATAGCTTTGAGTTAAGGCTCTTCTCTATGGCCAAGGTTTCAATGGCGAACGTGGTGAGAAACACAGAGAGCCTGCGATAAAATTGGGTTAGCCGTCCCACCCCATGGGATGGGAGGAGGATTATACCCAACCTGTCTCCTTCCTTAATGGGCTCTGAGGTGGCATACAAAGATTTACGCTGCCTGGGGCGGCCAGGGGTTGTCCCTTAATGCATACTGGGATTCAATGGTACAGTTTTGCGACAAGGGGGTACCCGAGGTATTTCTTCCCCTACTGAACCATTCCCAACAGATATCTGACCAATTCTGGGGGACCTCCCTCCAGGGGAACCCTGCTGCGTGGTGCGGGATTTGGGAGCATACCCAGCAGTTAGAGAGGTTAAACTCTTGGGCAAAGCAAACTTTCAAGGACTCATATGTGTTTGTTTCCAAGTTAGTAGGGATCCCTTTCCATCCCACATGTGCCTGGGGGAAACGGGAGGTAACGAAAGGAGTGTCCCTATGGCAAAGAGTACCACTGTGGCAGACCCTGGACCTGAACTCATGCTGGGCAGGTGACCCTAGGGCCTAACAATTACAATTCCCCAAATACCCACAAAATATCAATTACCAATAGTAGGCAGATTAAAAACAAAAGGACTAGGCCACCAGGTTAGGCCGGCCCTGTGAGAGTAAACACAACCAACGCTTAGAGTTTTCACGGGGAGTGCGCTGCGACTGTCCAAAGAGACCACAGGGCATTCCCAGCAGGCCTTATTGTCTTTTGAATAACAGTTTAAGTCTCAGGTCGTCGCTGGTAGTCTTTTTCCATAGGCTGGACGGTCCACTGTTCAGGAGCGGGCACTGCCTTCAGACGGGAGTGATGAATCCAGTTCTTGTGTCCCTCGACCTTTGCTGCTGTGTGGGAGACCAGCAGGACGGTGTGGGGTCCCTTCCACTTCTCTTGGAGAGGCTTGTCCTTCCAGGTCCGAACGAGAACAGAATCGCCTGGCTGCAAGGAATGGACAGGGGCATCCAGCAGGAGAGGCTGCAAATCTCTGGTATACCTGTGGAGAGAACAGAGAACAGCAGACAGAGAGCACATGTACTGAGATAAAAAGCCACACCCCATTTCCCACTTCCCTGCCAGAACCAGTGTACTGTTCATAGGCCATGCCCTTCCAAACATAATCTCGAAGGAACTGAGCCCTAACCTGCCCTTTGGGAAAGCGCGAATGCGGAGCAAAACAAGGGGTAAGGCATCAGGCCATCCGCTGAATCGATCCACCAAGACGAAAAGGTATTTGAATCCTTGGGTCCGGGGGAACTCTGTAAAGTCTATTTGCCAAACCAGTCCTGGGCCTGGGGTAGGTTCCAGAGTGGCTGGTAGCACTGACACTTCTGGTCGAGGGTTGTTCTTTTGGCAGACTAGACATTCAGCCTGTACCTGGGAGGCCAGGGGTCTAAGAGCCTCCCTGCCAGCGTATAATTCTTTGTTTCTTCACCAGGGTCAGTTCTTAATGTCTTTTGTAGTCAGGAATTCCTGGACTTTGTGGTTTCAATGAAGCAAGTGTTCCTTCTTTTCTTTTCCTGAAACAGTGTGGTTCAGCATCATACAGGGGAGAGGTTACTAGCACATCACCCTATCTTTAAATAGGCTTATCATCAGTCGGAGAGTCCTCCCGAGGTGGAGGGGTCTTTTTACAGTGAGAAGCCTGGGTCCAGGTGGGAAGTCCTTGGTACTTCACAGCGGTGTTGGTGGTTAACAGGACTTGGAAAGGGCCTTTCCAGTGTGGAGCCAAAGCAGTTTTTCGTTGATGGACCTTACGTAGACTCAGTCTCCTTATTTCAATGAATGGCAGGGCTGCTAGGGTCTTTGGTTAGCACTTCTTTTATTTGTGAGAAAAGAAACCTTACACATTTCATTAATGCCTGGCAGTGTTTTGCAGATCTCATAGTTGCTTGGGCACATTCGGGCCCCCCTTTTCTTGGTTGTCAGCCAAGTCTTAGCTGTGAACAATGTCCTTGGATGGTGCCAGCATCTTATCTTTGGACTGAGCTTGCTAGCTATATATTTTTCCTCAGTTAACTCGTTCTGTTCTTTTTCCTGCTCTCCTTCTTGGCTTCTTTTAACTTACAAAGGAAACTTCCACTCTTCACTCATACACCTTTTCCCAACAATGAACACATACATATTGCCATTATACACCCTTCCAGTAAAATAACTTCTATACAGAGCTTTGGAGCAACAAACCAGGACGAGCACACCCACTTTTGAGGAGTCCAACAAAGTTCAGGAGGCTTACAGTGGCTTTAAGGCAAGGGGTGAGACCCACAGCGGCAATTAACAAGTCATCCACATATTGCAGGAGGAGGACCCTGTCCTCATTGTCCCACTCCTCCAAGTCTCTGGCCAGGGCCTGGCCAAACAGAGTGGGGGAATTTTTAAATCCCTGGGCCAACACTGTCCAGCAAAGCTGCTTTTTAACCCTCCTTTTGTCCTCCCACTGGCTCCACTCTGGGGCTTGCATAGCTGAGGGCTCAATTGCAAGGGTCATTATCCAGGCATTCTCTGGGGGTAAGGTGAGGGTTATTTCATCTTGGATGAAATGCAGGGTGGCTCCTAAGCGACAAAGCAGGTCCCGTCCCAGTAGAAGTGTTGGACAATCAGGGAGGTAAACCAGTTTGTGAGATAGAGTTCTGTTTCCCAAAGCACATTCCGCTGGGGCATATACTGGGCATTTGGTTCCTTTCCCTGTGGCACCCACCACAGTGAGGGACTCTGACACAGGCAGCTGCAGGGGTTGGTTTACGGCTGTTCGTGCAGCTCCAGAGTCTATTAAAAAGTCTATGTCCGAATCTCTCACCCGCATTTTTACTCAGGGTTCCGGGGGCAGGATAGTCCGTCTCCCCCTGACACCCCTATTCTTGATCCTCCGCTGCCATCATAGGGGTACCTTCCCTTTCGGGGCACTCATTTTTCCAGTGTCCCTCCTTCCAGCATATGGCACACTGGTTGCGACCCAGACACCTTTCCTGTGAGCCAGGGCGCACACGCCCACGTCCTCTCATTCCCCGGCCCCTTCCACCTTCCTGGAATTTTCCCCTGCCACCAGCCTGTACTGCTGCGACCATCATTTTCGCTTGCCTCTTTTCCTTTTCTTTAGACACAACCTGATTACTCTCCACCACAGACAGCAGGGTCCGCATAAGGACATTACAATCATCACAGTCAGGCTTACAGCTAGCCAGGCACACTTCAAAGACCGAGATAGACTTGCTTGGGTTCGTAGAGAATTCCCCTGCCTGTGCCTTAAAGGCTGCTAGGTCCACCGGGTTAAAAGGCACATGGGTGTAAACCTGCATAGTAGTGGCCTAATTCCCATCTGAGCCATGTCTGGACACCACGGTCTCAGTGACCAACGGATAAAATTCCACCGAGGGGGCAATCTCTGGGACCTGAGACACCTTGTCTTTATATGGTGGAGGTGTGATAGCCGGGGGGACACCGGACCTGCCATTACAGCTGTGGGGAGATTCTGGGGAATAACAGTAGCTACTACCGAACCTGTCGGAGTCAAATTAC